AACAGACAAATCATTGGGGGGTTGACTGCCCCACTTACCAGAAAGGGAGTGGCCCAGTCCCCAACTCACAGCCTTTGGCTTCACAGCCATCCCTACTGGAGCTTCTTGGTTTTGCTCAGGAGGAGGACTGACGATGCCCAGGGCCCGAGGCCTGCACGAAGATCACCACGCATGAACCCAGGGTAACTTGCCTTGTAGCAGGTAAACTGATCTCTTTTGTCATCGATACAGGGGCCACTTACTCTACCCTTCCTGAATATGCAGGAACAACAACACCATCCTATATCACAATAGTAGGGGGTCATGGGATCAGAATACCACCCACGGATCACTCATCCCCTTTCCTGCACCCTACATCACACCCAATTCACAAAGAAATTTTTAATAATGCCTCAATGCCCAACCCCCTTACTGGAACGGGACATTCTTTCCAAACTCAGGGCTTCTCTTATCTCAAACACTTTTTTTTTTTCCTTTTTGTCTTTTTTCGTGACCAGTAACGGGATCGCAACCCTCGGTGTCGCGCCCGCACCGCGCTCAGCCAGTGAGCGGACCGGTCTCTATATGGGATCCGAACCCTCGGCAGGAGCGCTGCCACGCTCCCAAGTGCCGCACTCAACCGAGTGCGCCACCGGGCTGGCCCTTACCCCAAACACTTTATCTCCAACTATAATATTCCTGCTACAGGCTGCTCCAGACCTGGCCTCTAAGACCTCTACCTGCCCCTTTCCCCCAAACAAAGTTAATCCTTTGGTATGGGACACCTCTTCACCTTCCATCAAAAGTGCTTTTTTTTCCAACCCCTTACACCCCACCTGTCAAAACTTGTTTGCCTTCACTTGGACTGACCCTGATACATGTCATTCCCAACAACTCACCTGGACAGTACTGCCTCTGGGGTTTCAGGATAGCCCCACTTTTAGGCCAGGCCTTAGCTCAGGACTTATCTGAGCCTCCTCCAACCTCTAGTACTTTAACATCCCACAAAGCCCATTCATTTTCCTTTCTAGTAATTAAAAACTGCTCTCCTCACAGCCCCAGCTCTTCCTCTCCCAAACTTAACTCATCCTTTTATACAACATAATTGTGAAAAGGCTTTAGATTTCTTTCTCCATATTTCCCCCCACCCCATTATGCAGCCCCAAATCCTTTCGCTCTTGCAGGCCCGCTGCATGTCATTCATACAAAAGCTGCTCCAAGATTGGTCTCATCCTGCCACCTCCAGTGTTGACGACATCCTTGAGTGGGTAACTGAATAAGCCAGGCAGGGCGCCCTTTGCGACTATACCCCTGACGAGGTTACCCTCTATTCCTTTTCTTTTGGCTCCCTGACCCTCTGTATCCTTCCGCTGTTTTTTCTCCTATCTCAATGCTCCAACTCACCTGTAATATGGAGGTTCCAGGTCCGCAGGGCTGACGGGACAGTCCTCAATGAGTCAGACTGGTCCCCGAGAGACTCATCCGTCTCCATCCAGTTTGACACATGCTCTGCCATAAGCAGCAGCCCAACTTCCTTGGCATTCCTCACTGATTCCTGTGGGTCCCTTGACTGGGAACGGTCTTATATGACTGAACACAAGTAACTCTGCTTTAAATACCACCAACCATCTAGCTGCATAGACTCCTCCCAATATTACTGTCCCTACTGGTCCTGCCCCATGGCCTACATGGGATATAGTCAGTCTTGGCTCCAGCACCTTCCCGCTTCAGCTGTTTGTGGTAAGGGAACCTGTACTCCCATTAAGTTAAACATACCAGACCCTTCCCATTCCCGATGGAGTTCAGCCCAGTGCGCTGGACTCCGGCTTGATGGGTAGGGGTGGAACCCTGGTGGCCTTATCAGCATTTTTAATATTTCTATATTCCCAGGCCACCCACACTCAATTTAACATCCCTCACACTATCTTCCCCTATCACTCCACCACCATCACCTGTTGAGCAACTCCTAAATCTAACATACCTCTTTTTAACTTCCAACACTTCCACACTTTCCACCTCCCCTACATGCTGGCTCTATCTCCCACTTTGCAAGAAACTTTTTGTGGTCACTCCCCTCCCTGTCGATGCAGCCTACAATGTTTCTACAAATTTCATCTCATTGGGGACTGTCAGTGTTGTGCGGGGCCTGCCCACACTCTGCCTTACTAACACCACCAACACTACCACCAGCCATTGTAGCGCTACCACTCACTTACCCCCTCCTCATTCATGCCCTAAAATTGGGATATATTTCCTTTGTAAAACTACGTTATCCTGGGGCCAGCCCGGTGGCGCACTGCTACAGTGCGCTGCTTGGGAGCGCGGTGGCGCTCCCGCTGAGGGTTCGGATCCCACATATAGACCGGTTCCCGCTCACTGGCTGAGCGAGGGACGGGCGCAGCACTGAGGGTTGCGATCCCGTTGCTGGTCCCGGTCTGGTCCGGGCGGGACACTGAGGGTTGCGGCCCGTTGCCGGTACCAGTCCGGTCCGGGCGCGACACTGAGGGTTGCGGCCCGTTGCCGGTACCAGTCCGGTCCGGGCGCGACACTGAGGGTTGCGGCCCGTTGCCGGTACCAGTCCGGTCCGGGCGCGACACTGAGGGTTGCGGCCCGTTGCCGGTACCAGTCCGGTCCGGGCGCGACACTGAGGGTTGCGGCCCGTTGCCGGTACCAGTCCGGTCCGGGCGCGACACTGAGGGTTGCGGCCCGTTGCCGGTACCAGTCCGGTCCGGGCGCGACACTGAGGGTTGCGGCCCGTTGCCGGTACCAGTCCGGTCCGGGCGCGACACTGAGGGTTGCGGCCCGTTGCCGGTACCAGTCCGGTCCGGGCGCGACACTGAGGGTTGCGGCCCGTTGCCGGTACCAGTCCGGTCCGGGCGCGACACTGAGGGTTGCGGTCCGTTGCCGGACACGAAAAAAGACAAAAAGGAAAAACAAAAACAAAAACAAAAACTACGTTATCCCGTTGCCTGCACCCTAACGTGATTTCTTGCATATTCTTTTGGCTTGTCCCTGACATCACTGTCCTGACAGATGGAGAGATGGAGATGGGACTGGGACTAACTTTGGTCCCCCTCTCAGGAAGTGCCCCCCGCTCCTGTAGGGCACTAATTCTACCCTTTTAATTGCGGCAGGGATCCTTACTGCAACTGGGACTGGCGTAGCGGGCCTTGCTACCACCTCTTAATTCTATCAAAAACTCTCAGAAGAACTAAATCAAGACATGAACCAAGTGATAGATAGCATCTCCTCCCTCCAGCGACAGGTCCGCTCGCTCGCGACAGTTGCTTTACAGAACTGTTGGGCTCTTGATCTCCTTACAGCCAAGAAGGGAGGCACCTGCTTCTTCTTGGGGGAGGAGTGCTGTTATTATGTAAATGAGTCTAGGGTGATCCAAAACAACTTAAAACATCTAAAAGCAAGCGCCGAGTTGCAAGACACAAATACACCTTGGGGGCAGCCCCAGCTTTTAACCCCTTGGCTACCCTGGCTTATGCCCCTACTCAGACGCCTAACTGTGCTGGGACTCATCCTACTTTTTGGTCCCTGTCTCTTTTGGTGTTTCTCTAATTTCTTGCATGAATGTATGCAAGCCTTTACCAACCAAAAGATCACTGAACTCCATGGGAGGAGGATATCAGCCCCTCAGAATCAGCAGCCCTTCCCCGGAAGAATACAGCCTCCCAACACAAAACCGACACCCCACCACATAATTTTTCCTTCTTTTCAAAGATCTCTGTCCATTCTCAGCAGGAAATAGCTTCAGAAGAAAGAGACCTCTGTCCCTTTTCCCCTCTCCTTATACTTAAAAGGCGGGAATGATAGGTTTTGAACATAACCAGTGCCATTTTAGGCAAGGTCAAGTACAAAATGGCTGCCAGCCCCCACCCTCTTTTCCTTACGAGAAGCATCTCGACTTCTGTGAAATAGAAACCCTTTTTGCCTTCCACACAGGCACAATTTTCCACCCCGGTTGCATCAGCCAGGTGGAGCTTCTGCACTAGTGTAATGCTCCTCCTCAATTGCATCAGCCAGCCCTGGCGCCCTACAGCCTATATAAGCTCTCCCATCCAGATGCCTGGTGCTGCTCTCTACTTTGAGGGCAGCCCCAGCTACTGCTCTCCATTTTGAGTGCAGCCCCATAGATTCCTTTTCTTTAATAAACCTTGATCAGTACCCAGTGTTTCGGCTTGCTTTATTTCAGCAGTAGTTCCCAATCCTGGTGAACACAAGATTAACAATGACAATAACAACAACAAACCACTGCGCAAGTCTCACCGAGTCAGAATCTCTGCGGGTGGGAACATCCATATTTTAAAACCTTCCCAGAGAGACCCACTAGGCCCAGATAAGGTATCAGTAACTGCAGAATCTGTGTGGGCAAGGACACAGAGCTTGCAGTGACAGGTCTGGGTTTGTGTCTTGATTCTGCCACTTCTCAGCTATTGACCTTGGAAAGCCCATGAACTTTTCTAAGCATCCATCTCCTCAGCTCCCTAAAAAGAGGATGGCATTGGAACTTGCCCCAAGGTCTGCTGTGAGGACAGAGGAGCAGAGTCACAGAGGAGCCAAGCCCACGCCTGGTCCCTGGGGTGGGTGCTCAAAACATGTCAGCAGCCACTCACAGTGGCGTTTCAGTTCTGTGGGGTGGGGACTTTGTTGCACTCACCCACTGTTTCCCCGGCATCTAAGACCATGCCTGGCACATAGCCGGTACTCAGTAAAAAAATGGCTGTTTGAACAAATCATCATTATGGAGCTGAGAGTCTGACCTTCCTACACTCCCGGTTGGGCTGGGGTGGCCCATCCAGAAGGGAAGACCATGCAGCAGAGAGCGGGCTCTCCAGAGGGCAGATCCACGTGCAGAAAGGGCATCGCTACCGTGCCCAGCCAGACTCACCTACTGCCCCCAGGACTTTAAATGCTGACTATGTTTCTCTTCCCACAACACCCCACACTCCCAATTCTGAAGTGTGAGCTGGGACCATACATAGTCTAGACTCTGCCTTGGGTTTCCAGACCTGGTGCCATCCTCGGCGCTGGACTTTGGTGGGGGCTGTCCGTGAATTGCGTCTTAAGGCTTCTTCGGCTTCTCGAAACAGGGTCCTTTGTCCACAATCTGCACCAGAGATGAGGGAAGGAGGCTGGTGAAGTGCTGATGACAAGCTCAGACTGATGGGTTGCTTTGTAACTTATATCTAAAATGCATGTCATTGTGTCCAAAGTCTTGAGTATGAGGACATTCACTGCAGTGCTGTTTGTAGCAGCAAGACAACAGAAAACAAGCTAAAAGCTCAGCAAAAAGGGAATGTGTAAATAAGTCACAGTACATCCACACCATGGAATAATGTGTATAGTGTACAGACAAATCAGGAAGATCTATACATACAAAGAACAATCTCCAAAATATAGAAGCAAGGTACAGGAAACATCCAATATGTCACCATTTGTGTAAAAGAGGGCAGAGGAGAGATATTTGTTAAATGAATGAATGTACTCCAAGTACAGAGAATCCTGTTATCTGCTCTTCCTTGAAACCTGGACCAGGAAAGGCCTAATTCTACTAACTAGCAGCAGGTCTGCCCTGCCTCCTCCACCGGGAAATGTAGGAGAGCCACTGGTTTCTCTCTTTGCCCTGGGGGCTAGGAAGCTCCTGCAAACTCCCTGTTGAACATCAGTGGCTCTCCTAGGGGAATATTTTGGGACATCACTTTTTCCTCTATCTCTTTATTGTTGTTTTGACTCTTATGTGTGTACGAATGGCTTGGGAACCTTACCAGACCTGTTAGGCAATGACTTAGAATGACACAAATCCAGGTTGTTATGTGCCAGACACTTTACATGTATGTCACTTAATCTTCCTGGCAAGCCTGCAAGGTGGGTATAATTATTCCCATTTTACAGAAGAGGAAACTGAGGGTCAGACAGGTCTCAATGGCCTCTTGATTTCAAAGCTAGAGTAGCAGAGCAGGGTACTTTCAAATCCAGCTTGGTCTCATCTAAGCCCTCTTCTTGAAACTCAGTAGCACACTGGCCTCTCAGGCAAAGCAGCCTGTCTTGAACGGCACTCTGGCACCCTGGGTACAGCCACCTTCATTGGTGCCATTTCAAAGATGAGCAAACATAGGCACAGAGTGGCTTCCTCAGAGTAACACGGCCAAATTAGGAGCCGACTCCACCTGCTCTGCCACTTCATTCATTCAACTACTGCATCATTCTGGAGCTTATACTGGGCCAGAACTTGGGGTGGGTGCTTTTCTTTACATTCACATGCTTCCTGTGCTTTTCTCATAAGGCACGTGAAATCTGTTTAAAGTAGGCACGGTATGGATTAACAATGCAGAAATGCATGATGGAATTAAATATTGCACAGGGGTTAGATTCTAAAGTTAAGACATATCAAGTGAAAATCGGGTATAATCAAAATTACCCCAAATATATCCTTAAATTGCTGATACTTGGGACCCAGGAAACGTAAAAACTAGGAATGAACTGCTCTGGCCACCTTTGCTCTGGGCAAGTGGAGGCCAAGACTAGAATAAAAAAGTACAAGGGCACTTCAAAAAGTTTGTGGAAAGATAGAAGTAAAAGATAATATGAATCTTTCCATGAATATTTTGAAGTCCCCTTGTATTTCTTTTTAGAACTCTCATGCTCTCTCTTTCTGGTTAAGTGGGCATACAATAAATAGCTATGTGCTGGTGAGTTCGTGTACGCAGGATGTGGTTCCACAGTCCCTAATTAATTTTAATTAGCAGAGCTATTGCTTGGCCTGGAAGGGCCTGTGCTCACCGTGTGTCCCCTCAGCGTGAGAGGCACTTCTGGAGAAGTCAGAGGGAATGGCTTTCCGTGGTGATGTCTTCAGCTCAGAATTGGCCCCGTTGACATAGACGGAGAAACCTTGCTCCAAGTGCTCCAGTCTCAATTGCATAGGGTCCTTGGCTTTCAAATGCTTTAATATCCTGGAAGACAAATGATCGCTTGCTCCTCATCATGGAAGAGTCTGGGCCACCACCACCCCCAAGCCAGGAGTGAACTGCTGTTCCTATAGCGAAGCGGCTCTAATCAGAGGCTGGGTGGCATGTGCCCAGCTGTTTGTCTACAAACAGCCCATAAGAGGCCCATTACGCACATGGAGAAGCAGCGAGGGGGAGACTGTTTTGGACCCTGCAGGGAAGTTTCTGCTCTCGTTCTGAGGCTCAAATGCATGTCACCAAAAATGAATGCACAGGGTCCCTTCCCCGTGGAGGCCAGGGCGGAAAGGAGGCGTGCACACACTGCTACCATGCAGGTTTCCAGAGACGGTCACAATTTTATGCAATTTTACTTTGTGTGGAGAGCGACCCTGTGTCTGTAACAAAAAGTGTTTCGGGATCTAAAGCTCTGTGAGAGAGGTTTCATATAACATATCTACAAATCAGAAAATCCTTCATCAGATGGGTGGACTCATGTTTTGCTTCAGTGAATATATGTCTTCTCAAACACATCTTTGATATTTCAAATGCCATCATTTCGTATTCTGATGCGGTTAAAAAATGCATCAATGCAGGTGTTTGTTTAAGATTAATGATATGCTATCACAGCCTTTGGCTAGAAGGGTCTTCGCATGAGCGTGGCCAGGTCTCTAGTTCAGCTTTCACTAAAGCCCAACCTCACACCCCAAGCTGGGTTCCTTCCCCACTCCTGATGGTGCACTGCCACAAACTGTGTGCACTGTCCCTTCAGCCTCCCTCCAGAACTGCTTCTGTTTGACTCAAGCCTCTCCAGTGTCTTTATAAAAATCTTCGCCTTTATAAAAACCCCATATCAACTAGATTTATAAAGACAACCAACAAACATGGCAATGGAGGTGCATCTTCTTTAGTAAGTAAGTACCTACCTACTGAATTAGCAGAATTTAAATTTTTAAAAATAACAGTAATTACATAAAAGGTCTGTACTAGGCGCCAAACTCTGTTCTAAATACATACACAGTCAATTCTCGTTATTCAGATAGCTATTTTCCAGAAAGTCACCATGAACATTGAACTAGCTAATACTGAACCACTGCTCCTAGGGGAAATATAGGATTAGGTTCCTGCGAGTCTCTGGTCACAGAATTTTCATTAACCAATGAACACACAGCCTTGTTCTATGTGTGTTTCTGTTTAAAGATGCCTCATTACCGTGTTGATTATTCACACTGAACTCACAGCCAACAGCACTCCAACTCATGCCTGAACAAAGCGTATCTAACATGCGCATTTTCGTCTTAAGGCACACTGCAGTCCTCTTGCACTTAGGAATACCATATGCCATTGCTGTACTATGTTTGGGAGCCGGTTTAAACAGCAAAATCACCAACAAAAAGCACAAAAATGCAAAAACCATGCTACTACATATACTGCAACGAGGACACTTTTTACAGTAGGGGAGCTGAAGCAAGAAGGCAGTGTTGCATTGTTCCACCTCAGCTAGGAATGTGTCAGGTGGCCAAAATTTTGCTCCACTCTGCATATGTCCGTGAATGACCACAAAAGCACAAGTATTAATTGTGGGATTCTGGATACATTCTAGCGAGTAGACAAATCCACAGATACAGAACCTGAGAGTAAAGAGATCAACCGTATTAGAACATTCATCTTCACAACCCCATAGGGTAATAATGTTTACTATCCTCATTTAATAGGTAAGGAAACTGAGGCACAGAGAGGGTAAGTAACTTGCCCAAGATCACACAGCTAGTTCGTGGCAGGGCTAGATACAAATTTAGGCAATTTGGCTCCAGAGTCTTTACCACAGCAACAACAACTTCTAAAGCTAGCAAGATAAGGTTGAAATTGGCAATCTTAGATCTTGTTGGTAGCTCACAGAACCTTCTCGGAAGTAATATGAATATATAGAAAATGCCCTATGCTTGGTTTTTGCCTGGGGAAGTGGAAGCTGGGATATTATGCAGTTGCTGTGATTATGAAGACTGTAGAATCATGGGGGTTTGTTTGTGATCTGTTGAGCGGGAGTGAGAAAAGCAAAGTAAAAACTGTGCAAGGGCCGGCCCATGGCTCACTCGGGAGAGTGCAGTGCTGATAACAACAAGGCCGTGGGTTCAGATCCTATATAGGGATGGCTGGTTAGCTCACTGGCTGAGCGTGGTGCTGACAACACCAAGCCAAGGGTTAAGATCCCCTTACCAGTCATCTTTAAAAAAAAAAAAACAAAATAAACCCTGTGTACATGTGGTACATGCTAAGCTGGAAAATATTGTGTGTGTGGACCCAGAGTGGAAGGTGATAAATGTAAAACTGAAATCGGCTGTCAAGGGAAGGCAATGGCATTATGGCTGATTTCTTTGTTTGCTTTTTAAGTGTTTCTTTAGCAGCTGATACATCCGTCCTTTCAATAATCATGGCAGGAACATTTATTACAGACTGCTTATCTCTTGCCAGCCTTGGAAGCCTGGGAGATGCCTGATTGTTAGGCAACAACGTAAAACAGAAGGAAAACACAAGTAACTAAGAGACAATTTTCCAAACACGGCAATAGCTATGCTCGCCAGAGCCAACAATCAAGGATGCTGTGGGTCCGAGCAGTCCCCGGGGAGAAAGCGGAGCCAGGGTCCCGGGAGGCCCCACAGCAGAGCAGAGCAGAGCAGGGCAGGAATCTGATCACCCAGGCACAGAGCCTGCCTCAGCTTCTACCCTAGAGCCTGCCCTCCCTGTCTCCTGATGCCATATTAATGGCTATGGCACCCGATACCCAGGATCAGGCTGGCACTCCGCGTGTGCCTCTCCTTAAGCAGAATGATTTATGAAAAAGTGGATTTATGAAACTGATAAATTGGGAGATAATTATTCCAGCTGGGAAAGGAATTGCTAAAGGAACTCCCCTACTGCAGCTGAGCGTGTCAGTAATATTCGGGTGGCTTCAAAGAAAAGTGTTATTTTTTTAATCGATAGCCTACTTTGCATAAAAAGCTGTCCTAGGTGCAGAGGATTCAGATAAATCAGATTCAGTTCCTGCCCTATGTAAAATTGAGCCCTGCCCACCTGCGGCCCCGCCACCCTCCATTCTCTGACGGGTTTTGTTTTTTTCAAGATGCATGTCTCACTGCCTGATGTTATGTTGTGGATTTATCTGTGTATCTGTCTATCCTCCCTCCCTCCCCACTGGAAGCTGACTCCCGGGCACAGGCATTGTCCTGTAGGCCACGGTGCCTGTTGCGTGAGAAGAACAATGAGGAATGCTCTCCATGCCTATTTCTGGAACAAGGGGCCCCAGGGAACTCAAGGTCTAGCAGGGGACAGGCTGAATGTCCTAATGCTTGCACCTGCCACTTACCTGATGCACATCACAGCCACCATTTCCATCTTATCCTTGTAGTGACTTTTGGGGTCATCTGTACAAAGAGCTCTTTTGCCCAGGTAAGGAAGAGGAGAGATGGCAAGTTAAGAGCAGGCTGTCACGGGGGAGTGTTACTGGGCACCTGACACGGTTGAGGCTGGGGTGGTTGGGGGACTCTTCTCCTCATGGGCCACCAAAGCAGGGACCTAGATGGTGGGGACTTAGTGAGTACAAAGGGTGAGCAAGTGTGTTTGTTGCCCATAGGACAGTGGCCTTACTGTGACTGGGCTTAGGACTGAGCCGTGTGGCTGCTGTGGGACTGTGAGCTAGCCACATGGTTCCTCCAGACCTCAGTTATCCCAAGGGTCAAATGAGGTATTCTCTAGGCCATTCAAGGATTATCTGGGTGCCAGCTGGGGCAGAAGAGGAGGAAGAGGAGGAGGAGGAGGAGGAGGAATAGGAGGAAGAGGAGTGCTGTCTTCGATGGTGGGCTTTCTGTGGGCCTTCAAGTACCTTGTCTTACATCATCCTTCAGTGGCCCTGGGATTTAGGTTCTATCATGGCCCTGTTTTATAGATGAACTTGCCCGAGGCCAGAGAGTCAAGGAAGCAGCCAAGCTAGGACTTGCATGCCGGTCCATGGGGCTCCAGAGCCTGTGTCCCCACCTACCCCGTTCTAGTGTTTCTTGCCCCCAACACGAGGCACCATGCAACAGGGGCTCTGAGCAAGGAGAGCTCAGAGGAGGGAGCAATGGCTCCCAGCTGGGGGATGCTTGGAGGCAGTGGCCTTTGAGTCCAGCCTCGAGGGACAAAGAGATTCTGTCATTTCATTTACCAGAACCTAAGCGGCTACAGGGGCTCAGTACTGGAGGCTCTGCCATTTCCCCAGCTTGCAAGACCTTGGGCAAGTCCCTAAACCTCCCCAGGGCCTGTTTCCTTTCTGTAAAATAAGACTAGGAATGCCTATACCACCACGGGCTGTCCTGAGGACAAGATGGGATATGGGATGAAAGCCCCGGTTCAGAGACCAGCCCATGCGAGGCCCCCAGTGATGCTGGTCCTCTCCTGCCTTTTTCTGCCTGGATCTCCTCCTGGGGCATGTTTTGCCCTAAGTTTCCCCCAAACAACCTTTATGAGGCCCAAACAATGTCCTGTTGCTGCTTTCTTGTACCCGATGAACAGATCTGCATCCACCCTCCAGTCTATAAGTTTACATTACAGCCCCTTCCTGCTGCCATCTCTTCAGATGCAAGGGCCCTAATCTTTTCAGTTGGTCCTCGTGTCTCAGCCCTTTGATGGCTCTGCTTGCTCTTCTGCAGACTTTGTTGGGAGTGATTATGTCTTTCATGAGGCTGAGTGACCAGCATCCCTAAGAGTCCAGTGGGAGGTGGAGGGAGGGTTTGTGCAGGGGTGAAGCAGCACTGTAAAGTCTCCAGAGTCTCCCCCTCTCCTCCCTTCCCTGGTTCTTTCTTGGAGCACATGGTCGCTTTCTGCTTCTTCTGGCATAGTTAGAGGTGGCTTTGTGCTCACCCTGCCACTACCCAGGGAGTTCTGCAAGGGTGAGGGCTGTGCAGTGCCACCTGTTCTTTCTGCCTGCTTGGCAACTCTCCCCCCTCTCCCAAACAGGGCTCCACGAACTTCCTTTGGGGACGGCTCATTCCTTCTCTTACTCCATGTGGCCTGGGGGGACTGCTGCACTGCCCAATTTAGTGGGGTGGCCAAGTGGCCAGTAGGGCTATACCACCTCATCAAACACAGGGAGGGATTGGCTTGGGATGGGAATGGGGTCCAAGCCAGGTCAGTGAGCGCCTTCTTCAGCACTTTTGGAGAAGTACTAGGAAAGAAATGCTCTCTTCCATTTGAGGTAGGATATCAGTAGGAGCTGTACTGGTCATCATGAGGGCAGTACCTGCCTGAGAATGATTCCAATATGGGGAAACAGAGGTAAGAGATGAAGAATGGCTGATTCGGTGACATCATTTAAGCTCCTGGATCCAGCTATGCCTAAAGCCAGAGTATCATGCTGGGTTTCTTAATTCCATAAACTGATAACATTTCCTAGTTGCTTAAGCCCATTTACCTTAGGCTTCTGTCCCTTAAAAGCAAAGGAGCACTAACTGACAAAGTCTGTCTTCCTCCACACAATGTTCCCCTTTGCACCAGTGATAATAAGATGAAATCCTGCTGAATGGATTACAAACAGCATCCCCCAGCACCTTATGGACAGCTGTGTTCTGGGCAGATTTCTGCTAAGAACTCACTCCAAAGACTGCACACCCCCTCTTGAGTGACAGGCAACCCAGAGGAGTTTTCATCTCCTTTGATGCCCAGGGTCAAGCTCAGAGGCTGGTTTTCTAACTGGTCACATAACCAGGTTTCCAAGTAAATTACAGCTTATTCCCACAAAAGCACTCCTTAGTGAATTTAGGGCCAGTGGCAACCCTGGTAGGTTTCTTTCCTCTTGATTATTTATGACAACATCAAATAAAATGTAAATACAGCACAGTCCAGCTCCACCTTCCTGGCTGTGGGACCTTGGGCAAGTTGCTCACTGGTCTGGATCTCCACTTCCTTGCCTGTAAAATGGGTGCAAAAACTCTCTCTGCCTCACTGGAAGTGTGCAGATTAAATGAAATGATGGGTGAGGAGCCTGGCAGATGGCTGGCACTCTGAAAAAAGGTGCCTTTGAATCTTGACCAGACTTTAGCCTGAGAGCATTCTGTTCCTCACAGGTCTCCCCGTTTGAAGGTGTTTCTTTCCAGCTCTACCTTCAAATTTCCCATCATCAAGACAGCTCCCTCTTGGTGATGACATGTCCACCCAAATTTTATGGCAACTCAGTTTTGATATATTTTTTAATTGCCTCATTGCTGCAACCTTGTCTCTGGAAATTCTCATACATGCAATCACCGGTACCTCTTTGATCACACACTTATTGATCCCCCAATTAATGAGAAACAATTTGTTCATAAGGAACTATGACGCGTTCTCTCCCCCAGACAACTCACATGTGGATGACTAAATAATCACTCAGATGTTTGGTGGCACCATCAGCCTGCCAGAAACTGAATAAAAACATCCTGCTCTGGGGCATTAATGATGATGAAAACCCATGTTGGTCTAATCAGCATAAGCCTTTTGCTATTCTAGTGTGAGGTCGATGTGGGGAGGGATGGAGCGCAGCGCAGAGTGGCTCGGCACAGAGGACATGGTCCTGGCCCTTCTAGCTGGTCCCGGAGAGTTTATCTATTCAGAAGTTCTCCATGAGGGAGGTGTTGCCTCGCTAGAGGGTATCTGGAAATGTAGGAGGGTGTTGTTGTTACAGACAATGGGGGTCTTAATGAAATTTAGTAAAGGGTCTGGTAGGCAGAGATACTAAACTCCTACAATGCATGGGACTATGCTGTACATAAAAACTTGTCCCATGTAACATGCCACCAGGAATCCAGTCAGTCAGAGGAAGGGAGAATCCACAGTCAGGATGACACCCTCCAGACTCTTGTCTGCAAGACCCTAAGCCCACTCCCATAACACAAAGGCCCAAGTAAGTACCCTCTCCTTTCTTTCCCCTCTTGCAGATGAGTTTTGTGGGTCTACAGTGTTCTTTGTTTTGTACTTTAATTTGAATTCATTACCAATATTTTAAAACACAGGCAATTTGCCAACACAAATCCAGATTTCCAGCTTCTCTGGCAAACTTGGAGGATCTGGACCCTGGGGCCTGTGATCCCACAAACAATAGATATGAAAGTTCCAGGTGCTCTCTGTCCCCACTGAGCTGGTTTCATTCACTGCCTGGCCCCTCCAAGCATCTGAGTTTGCAAATCCAGCTTACTGCAAGGTTTGAGGCCTGAAGAGAAACCACAGTGAGCTGAAAATGAGCTTCCTCAGCCTTACAAAGGAACCTAGGAGATGACACCTCTTTCAAACCAGACCATGCTGCTTTGACCTTGATCACTAAACACTGCACCTTCTGCAGGTTTTTTCAAGAACCAGCACTTCAGAGACAAAATGTGTCTTAACCCCAAATGACATATAGACCGACTTCAAACATAAATGTAAAATGACTGCATCTTTACATAACATAGCATGATTATAGGCTCAGATTTCAGGGGACTGTCAAAGCCTGTAAGATCGGAGACAGGGCTAGCCAGGTGACTACTGCGCAGGCCCTGCCAAATTTGAGCTTTTCATGACAATCCTACCTTCTCCCAGAACAGAAACAGGGAGGCAAGAGGCGGGACTTACACATCGAACAGTTTGCTACAGCTCAATCAAAAGATGCAATTAAACCAGTGAATGGAGAAATAGGAGCCGGGATTGCAGATGATATCCTAAGCCTCTGAGTGGAGGGTGGCTCTGCATCCCATTTCTATGTGAAACAGGGCCTGCATGCTGTTAATAAATCTAAACAGATTTGTATTTGGCTGATATTAAGGACTACCATCGAACGGCTTCATCTTACCGGTTCCTCTGCTGAAGCAATATTAAATACTCATCATGTTTCTCATCAAAGTCTGTCACCATGTCCTTAGTGTAACCCTGAAATGAAGAAACAGAGCAGTGTGACATAGGAATGCAGAGAAGCATTTGCTGAGAGCCAGGGTGCTGCACACGCCAGCTCAGGAGGCCGAGAGGTGGAGGCTGACCTTGACGAAGGCCCAGCTCCCTGGGCGCGTCACTCTGGTGACCCAGAGCCCCAGAGACTGTCTGTTAGACACACACAACTTTAATAATCTACACAAAGGAGAAGGTTGATTCCCCAGTCTTGCTACTGTTCATTCTCCTGTGGCCTGTAAAATCAAGAGCTCTGACAAGATTTAGGCTTTACTGTTTTCTCAACACCCATTATTTAGTTATCTCAACTGTCATAATCAGATTCAACCCAACTCTAAAAGAGGATCTTGTTTTGCCCTTGCCGCTGCAGGAGAAATGCGTGTCTACTATAAACAATACGGCCATTATGGAAATGTGTGACCCAGCGAGTGAAGCTGAAGCCCCTCTGGAAGGGACATTCATGCTTCTGTGCCTCCTCTTTTGGCAACAGGGCTCTGGGCTTCCTGTGGGGACCACTCGGCCCTTTCTTTTGGTTCACCGGTTTCCTTAGAAGCCCTTGAAAGTTCCTTTTTTCTCCTCTTGGGTCACATGGCCTTGGCCTTGCCAATCAACATAGTGCTTCTCCCAGCCACAGTGATTCACTGGTTTAGGGATCAGCCAGGACCCAAGTCAGCCCTGGGGCTTTGCCGATACACTTGGGGAAGAGATGCTCTCTTTCCACTGGGGTGCTGAGCCGATGAGATGAAAGCCTAGAACTGCCAGGGAATGAAGCTGATAAAAAAGACATCAGTGATAACACCAAGGTGAAGGGTTTGGATCCCTCTACCGGCCAGCCGCCAAACAGTGGTGATGATGATGATGATAACGATAATAATAACAATAATAATGAAAAGACAGCTGATTCAAGAGACAGAGAGAGAGACAAGTTTCCAATGATGTAATTTCAGTCCCTGGATCCACCCATGCCTGAAGAAGTATCTGGACAATTACATTATTGCTTTAGAAGTTTCAGCTGAGTTTCTGTGATCTCCAGCTAAAAAAAATTTTAAGTAATATACTATAACCTGACCATAGGGATAATCCCTATCATAATTTAGTGCAGCTTTATGGAGGAACAATTAATGTATAATAAACGGCACATATTTAAAGTGACATATGCATCTACCAGTAAAACCCCTATTATAATTTGATTTATAATCCTCTGGATGTGTTTCTTTGTTCATAATGTACCTAGATACATATCTACAAACACAGACACACATATTCTTTGAAACAAAAATGGGAGCACACTACAAACAATGCTTTGTGATTTGCTGTTTCTTAAATAACTTTTTGCCAAGGAATGGATTAGAGATACAGTATCAACTTGGTTCGTACTGGTCACAAGTTACAGCAAGTTACAGAGATTAATTTTTAAATGGCAAGTAGGACATTTGTAAGAGAAATGCAATTTGTGTGGGAATCCTAATGATTATCATGGGAAGAAGAGAGAGAAAAAAAGAATCTCCATCATTCTCTTAACTTCTCAAAATCTGGCTTTAACCCCATTATTCTACCAGAACCCTACCCAAGGGTGACCTGGGACCATCTTAATTAAAAATAATAGCTCTTCTCCTCTTCAACCTTTCAAAAGCTCTGGGCCATGGGGACCTGCTGACCACCCCTTCCTCCCACCCCAGATTCTCTTCCTTGGTGCCTGCAGTTCCCTCACAGCCTTCTGCCTGTGCCTCCTCGGGCTACCCTTCCTCATTTTTTCTCAGTTGTGGATAGTCAGGGTCAGTCTGTCTGTCTGTCTGTCTGACTTGCCTTGGGTCTCTCCCTCTACCTTCACTTCTTCCTCCGATTACAAGGAAGTGGGGCCCTCTGGATGGGGAGCCCAGGCAGTCACTCCTAGTCCAGGACTGGCAGCCCACTCCCCTTTCTCCTCCTTTCCCCCTTAGGATCCCAGGTGGTTGCCACATGCTTACCTCTTCCCCTGTCACCCCTACTTTTCCTTCCTGATTCCTCTCTCTCTAGAACCACTTGGGAACAGGCTGCAGTGCCCTGATCGTCTCCTACCCTGATGTCTCTGAAACCTCTGGGTTTTACTGGGGATTTTGACTAGCTAATCTGACCCATCAGGAAGTAAGCAATAATAAGAAAGGGTGATATTATAAAATTATAAGAGATTAAGAAGACAAACTAACAATAGCTTTCCCTATTCTCTTATTTCCCTGGCTTCCTGAGATGCCCACAGAGGTTACTCTGTCCTCCCCTGGGACTGAGTCCTGCCTCACCCTGGTGCCAGGGAAGCACATGAGATCTCAGCCCTTGGGGGAGCTGGTTTGCAGAATACTGGGTCTGGGGAGGATTCTTGGTTCCTTCCAGAATAACAACATGTGTATTGTGCTAATGGTTTATGCGGCATTTCCATATATACGATTCTGTTTTGATCTTCACAGCAGCCCTTGAAGTGGTTATTAGTACCCCATTTAAGATACAAGGACCCATCCCATGCATCTTCCCGGAACGCGGTCCTACTCCATGGCAATTTACATAACTATTTTGAAATATTAAATTGACCACTGGTATATTAGGCTGTGGAATGAAACATTTGATGACATTTTAGATGAAATGTGGGACTTCAAAGAGATTGTAGCTTGTGCTGGGCCACCCTGGGCTCTCACCTCAAGCCCTCTGAGGAATGCGACTCTTCTCTGCCAGGAGGGAGGTCATAGAAAGACTTGAAGACCATGGGCATCCATCCAGCCCTACTTCTCACCAGCCCTGTGCTTCTCAAAAGCTGCTGTGTACACAGATCACCTGGGAACTGTGGTGATGCAGATTCTGACTCGATAGGACTCGAGGAGCCCAAGTCTGCACTTCTAATGAGCTCCTGGGTAATGCCATGGACCACACTTTGAGTAGCAAGGCGTAAGACTTGACACTCCTCATGATACCCCCACCTCCAATCAGATTGTCTCTGAGCTTGGGCTGGGAAGAACATGAGCTGTGGAGTCAGGCCTGGTTCCAGGTCACAATACTGCCACTTAATTTCTTTATGTGTAAAAGGAGGCAATGACAGTACCTGCCTGCTTGGACTTTCCTTTCTTCTATCAAGGGTTAAATGTGGGCTGGATGCAACAACCATGGAAAGGACTTAGCACAGTTCCTGGCACTTATGAAGTTCTCAGTGAACATGAGTTACATCTGCATTTATACAACTCCTTTTTTTTTTTTTTTCTGCATCTGTCTGATATGCAGAACCGAACCCTTGACCTTGGTGTTACAAGGTCATGCTCTAACCAGCTGAGCAACCGGCCAGCCCCAGAACTCCACTCCTGAAATAGCACTCTCCTAGCCCTCCACACTCCCACCCCATGCTCACTTCTAACCTGATGCCTTAATCATTCTATTCCCTGTTCCAGAATCCACCCATCCTCCTCCAGCCTCCACTCAAAGACTTTCGAGGCCCAGCTCAGTTCCCAAAGTCCCCATGAAGCCCTCCCTTGCCATTCTCATGCCCACTCACTTTGGATCCTTCTGAAACCCTGCAATTAGTATTAAATTATATACAATACAGTGCAAAATACTATATAATTAAGTGCTGAACTGTTAGCATTTAACTATATATACTTACTGCTCACTAATTATCTGGGGATTTGGAGACTTGGGGGTGAGCCCTCAACTCTGCTATTGGCTTCCTCTGAGCCTCAGTTTCCTCATCTGTAAAAAGGGCATAATAAGGTCTAACTCCCAGGGCTGCTATAGAGATTAACTAGGATAAAAGTGGAAGTAATTTAGGATCCTTATCTTTCTTGTTCTTCTTCTTGATTCCCCAGTCGATTATAAATTCCTGGAGGGCAAACCCACAGCATGAGGAGGGAGAAGAAACATGGCATGTGAGGCTGGAGTCCTGGGCTCCACCACGAGCTTCACCACCGTCCAGCTCTATGGTGGTAACTGCTTCAGCTGACTAAGCTCTTCCTATGGGCCGGGCACTACTCTAACCCCTTTTGTGCCTCACCAGGTTAACCCTCACCACAACCCTGGTCAGAAGCCAACACTGCCTCCCCCTGGCACAGCATACTTCATTTAGCTGAGGCTTTAGGTCCTTGTGTATAAAATGGAGATATGAAAACCTAAGGTGCCCAGTAAAGGTGTGAGAACCCTGCAAAATGCCAAGTTTATCATTATTGCTTTTCAGCAGTTATGTGCTTTCTGTGTGGTCGGCCCCCTTACATGTGCAAGTGGGGTTTAACAAGAGTTCTGATACGGTGTGTATTCACATACTGGCTTGTCTGTATAGACTGTTCTCAGCTGCTGCACAGCCTTTCTTCACACTGTGTATGGTGTGAACAGTGCCCCCTGCTGTTGTGCAATGTCAGGCAACTACAACTGGTCAAGGAACCACACACTGTCCAGGGGTCCCCACTGGGGGTTCTGCGGACACTCATTCAAATGGATGCATGAGGGTATTTTTCTGGGAAGAGAGTCCATGACTTTCATCAGACTACCAAGGGCACCTGGGACCCAAAAAAGGAGACAAATAATTATAACAAAATATACAAAATGTAATGCCAGGGGTCTGAATGAGGGGACCAGGAAGGCCTTTGAGAGCATGGCTGGTCCCCAATCCTTGCAGTCATTTTCAAAGCCTCGTTCCCTCTCCCACCACACATCTAATTTATCAGCTTCACATGAAAACAACTGTATATCCAAATCTGAGCACTTCTCCCCCAACCCCATGCTGGTCCAGGCCCCCCAGACTGCCCTCCTGCTCCTGCCTTCATCCCTGCAGCCTGTTTTCCCTGCTGCAGCCAGGGAACTTGAAGGATAAGTGGAATCATGTTGTTTCTGTGCTCAGGACTCCACTGGGCTCCTGAGCCTTTGTGAGTGAAGGACAAGACCCTCCCAGCAGCCTCGAGACCCATACTGGACCTCGGACTCCCAGATCTAATTCACCTCCCACCAACCCACTCCTCCTCCTCACTCCAGTATCATCA